GGCCCGCGGGCTCCACGCGCAGCTCGGCCGCCGCCATCTTCGCGTGCGCGCGCGGCGGCTCCTCCTCCTCCCTTCCCGGCGCGTCCGCTGAGCGCCTCGGGCCGCCCGGCTGCGCGGCGGTGATGGGGCGGTAGCTGAAGAGGGAGTGCGGCGCGAGTGACGAAATCGAGGGCCGGAGAGGCGACCGGAAGGCTGGAGGGCGCGCGACGCGGCGCGGACTTCGGTCTCTGGCCAGCCGGGCTCGGACTCAGGGCGGGAGCTTGGAGCGCTGCAGGCAGCCTGAGTTAGATAGAAATATTGTAGGTAGTTAGACAGTGTCAGGCCCTCAAAGGAGGTGACAAAGACCAGACACCTTACTGGGGAGATGCTCCTGGTGTGAGCCAGACCTAAAGAACAAACAAATGCTGACCTCCCTAAAGTTGGCATCCAGGATTGCTGATTAGTCTGGAAAAAATCATCGACTGAAGGCCACCAGATAAGGTCCCCAATTACATTCATGCCCGCTTGCAACATGACTTGCTACCCCATTAGGTCCTAGGCCTAATAAGTTTTACCTGAGCAGTGGTGCTTGTAATCCCCTTTGGTTGACCATAGTTTTGTCCCACCCTGTATCTGCCTAAGTTTCGCTTTGTCTTTCCTTTAGCCCCACATGGTTTTGCCCTATAAAAACAACCTGAAAGAGACAGCTTCCTGGGCAGCCTGCTCGGGTCCCTCTTCTGTCCCTTTCCGACAGAAGCTCTCCTTTTCAATAGTTTTACCCTCAACTTCCATTTGTTCCTAAAATTCATTCTTGGGTTTTAGAGAACATGAACTCATGCAGGCCAGGTTGGGAATTTCACGTTCTTATGTCAGGAGCACGGAGAAAGGAGATGGGGCCTTCTCCTTGAGCTGAAGAGCAGAGCCCTTAATTAAACCACAGTCTGGCCCTTTAGCAAGAAGAGGGCTCCACTTTTACTGGGTCGCTGTCTGAGGTGACGAACCTGTGGCAGCGGTGCTGCAGCGGGCAGGGTGTAATGTTTTAATCACTGAAACCTCTAAGGGTTCACTATTGCCTGCTCATCACTTCAGGTTCTGTGGAGGTGAATTCCAGCGCGTCCTTGTCACTTTCAGGTGACAGTCTGGGTCCCATTGGTTGAGCCTGTGTGGAGAGAGAGGGAGCCTTAGTTCCATTATGGGGCAACTTTGCCCCCTGGGTTGGTGATGGTGTCATGGGGGAGTGGCCTATCCTGGGTAAGCGGGCTGTAAGGTGCTGCTGGAATCCAAGGCAACTGTGGGTTTAGGGCAACGTCTGCATACTTGTAGGTGCTGTTCCCGGGCTTCAGGGACAGAATGCTGTACGGTCTGGCAGCTGAATGGTCCGCAAGTCTTGAAACTATCAAGAGGGGCGTTTAGGACTGATAAATCAGTTTTTAGACAAATGCCTCTTGCGGAACTGAGCAGGGATCTGACTCAAGAGTTTTAGGTGGTGAGGGAGACAGAAATTGAAGGCAGGAATGCTAAGCGTTACCCATGGGGCTCTCTAGTCCCAAATGAAGATTCATTGCTCAGAAGCAGCATTTAAGTCCCTGTCTTAAGGCAAAACTATTCAGGTGATCTGTGCCAAATATAGCCCGATTCTCCCGTTAATTTCTTCCCATACCAAAGCTTTTCCTGGAGCTCGTGGGACCTGGAGCTGTGTTCAGATCGTTGTACAGCTTGCAGATCCATAAACAGGTGGAGCAGACCGATGGGGTTCTGGTCTGACTATGTGTCTTGATAGCATAGGTATCTCAAAGCAATTGTCAGGTATGTCCCTGAATCAAATTTCCTTATCAGAAAGTTTGTCACAACTTTTGTTGGGCTAAAATGTAAGACACTGTGTTACCCATAGCATTGGTGGCAAAGCTATGGCACACATGTGCACCAGGCTTTTGGTATGGTTGGAAGCGCTAGAATTTGTGCCAGCACTGGCCTGTAGTATCAGTATATAGGGGCTGGGGATTTGGCTGTGCAGTAGAATGCTTGCCTAATAAGCTGGAAGGCTGGGTTCGGTCCTCAGCACCAAGAACAAAAAATAAACCTCCCCTAAAAAACAATTCAACCAAAAAAATACAGTAAAATCAAAAAAGACCAAAACCAAGGAAACTGGCATCAGTATACAGAGTGTTGATTCTGAGTCCAGGTCTGCTCACTGGGAGGGTAGGTTTGGGGTGCATCAGTTAGGGTTTTGGCATGAAACAAGGGACCATGTAGCTGAGTCATTTGGGGAGAGTTTCATAAAGAGATTCTTTTCAAGGGTAGAGACAGCAGGACAAACAGTCCAGTAAGATTTAAGCCCGCAGGATCAAGGAACAGAGCTGACTGGCCAGAGTTGCTGTTTTCCTAGAGGGCGATGAACAGCCTGGGACTGTGATGCAGATGGTCAGAAGTTCATGAACACTTCCATTTCACCATACACTGGATGTGTAGTAACTTGGCAGTGCCTGTCTTTGCTGAGTGGAGATACTGTCACTGGCTAGTGTGGGTCCTTGTTTTATTGATCAGACAAATTAAAACCAAAGGCAAGTATGAATTTACAGACTCACGTTCATTGACTGATAACAGAGGATAAGGAAAGGACATTAGTTAGAGGAGTAGCTGGAAGGGACACACACTAATGGAGAGGTTCAGACGGGCCCACCAACCAATGTGTGGTGTGTGTGATGTATGAAGAGACAGAATTGCTGTCTGCAGAGGAGGGAAAAGTAGCTGAGGAGGTGGCCTGGGCTCAGCCATCAAAGCCACTTTCCTCTGACCCTAGCAGCTCCACAAACAGTGTGATTACAGAGCCCTAACCCGAAGTAGAGTCAATTACCAGAGAAAGTGCTTCTTACCAACTTAAGGAAGGTGGCCCCACATGAAATACAGTGTTGTCCACTGACTGCAAGGAGGAAGTGGCTTAATTTCAGGATGGATGATGTGCTGTCTCCAGAATTAAGTCAGGTATTAATTTCTGGGCCCTTAAGTCCAGTCAATAGATAGACAAAGTCCTTGACTTGAGCCAAGGAGGAATTCTTCTACTTATCTCAGAGGTAATATTGCAGGAGTTTTCTCCTGCTTGATCATATGGCTTCCCTTGGAAGGGGAGGACGATTCCCTGTAGCACGGCCATCATTTCTGCAGGAGGCACAATGGCTGGGCTGGCCTCTGCTATCCAAAGTTGCCACAGTTTCCCTGCTCTGGAGGTTGAATGACTCACTGAAGTAGCAGGACCCTTTCAGAAGGATCTGTCATCCCTTGAGGTGTGAATGACCTTAGTGGACAAAGGCCAAATGTTACTTCTTGCCTTAGTCCTTTCATCTTTTTAGTTTTAGTCTCTATGCCTTGGTTGTTAAATACCCAATAGGTCTTTTACTCCAGTCTTGACTTACCAGGAGTGGACTCTAGTAGTAACTATGGTAGTTTCTGCTAGATGTGGTACTCAGTGTTATATGCTATCAGCCTGGAAGAGGACAGCTTATCTGAAAATATTGAAGAAGACAGCTTATCTTAAAATATCATTTAGGTTGTCTGCTAGAAGTCATGCTCCTGATGAATGAAACAGACAAGAGAACAAAGGTTGTGAAGTTTTATAAGGAAAAGTGAGATAAAGGCAATAACAAAATAAATCTTCTAAAGGTACTATGAATCATAGTCTTGTGAGAATTAGAGGCTTTGAAGTAGAATGTGCTTGTTTGCAGGTGTGATGTCTGGATGAACAATATATACCCTGTAGTTACTGAGGTAACACAGCCTGCAATGCAGTTTTTAATTATCAAAATCTAATTAGAGACACATAGACACAGAATTCTTTTCAAAATCTTATTATAAAAAGTTTTAATTTACAAGATGCCAGTATGGTAATATGTTTTTCTACACTGTATTTCAGAAGGTTTATGTGCTTGGGAAACATAATAGCGTTTAATGTGCAAACAAGTCAGTATTACTGCTATGTGGAACCCCTGTGCACGTCGCTCTAAGCTTTTACATTGGAGGCTAAATTTACACACTGTTCGTTACTACTGTAATCAAATGGTTTTGCAAGGATCAGGCTGTCAATGTTGAAGAGCACTGTCCAGGAGTGATTGAGAGAGATTTCCTCTTAAACTCCCAACGTCAGCTACTGGTAATTCCAGTTCATTTAGTTTTCTGTGATTCTGAATTAATTCCTGAGGTCCATCTCCTTTTACCCAAAATAAAATGGGAAAGTGTTGAGATGAGAGAGACTCCAGCTGTGAGGTCACTGCTCACCCTGGGCCTTATTTCATATGCATATTTTACACAGGACAAGAGAGCTCTGTGTCTTTCCAGTTTTAGTAGCCAGTAGATTTCCCAGGTTTTTTTTTT